GATTCTGGATAGCCACAGCTGGATTACATTGAAATAAACTGATGAGAGCAAGTTTAAATAATGCTGCTCCTCTGCTTAACTGTGCTCTGCACCCATGGACAGGTGATGTTTTGGGAGTAGCAGTTAATGTCAGGGCTCTAGCCATTGAAATGAGATTCTGATTTACTCAGAATTGTATTTTAGAACCTTACATTTGAAAAGTTGATTAGGATATGGAAATGATCCAATTGTTTGTTTTTGTTTTGTCTTTCAGGTCTCTGTGTCCTTTGTCCCAATAGTAATAACTCTCTCCTTGCATTTCCTGGAACACACACTGGCCACGTGCAGATCGTGGATCTGGCTAACACAGAGAAGCCTCCTGTGGACATCCCAGCTCATGAAGGAGTCTTGAGCTGTATTGCTTTAAACCTGCAGGGAACAAGAATTGCAACAGCATCAGAAAAAGTAAGAATGATGTCCCCTGCCTCTGACTTACTGTGTGTTCTAGTGCAGTGAGATAAAATAGCAAGTCACATCCTTTGGAGGAGAGACAGAGAAATACCTGCTGGGAAAATCTGCCACTGAACTGTGCACTCTCAGTCCTTCTTGTGTTCCCTGCTCCTCTGGGATGCCCAAGCAGCCAGCAGCCAAGGGCTGTGCCTGAGGTAGTATTTGTTTTAGCTGGCTGTAGCAGTGATTCTTCAGTGACATTTAAACACAACTTAGCCCCAGTAGTTCATGTCTTTGATGTGTTCTTCAAGAAGTACTGTTAATTTTTTTAAAAAAGCAGGTGGAGGGGAGAGCTTATTTGCATTCTTCACCTTTATTATTTTCTGCTTAAATTCACTCCAGACCCAGTGGCTAAAGAAATACTTGTAAATAGTTCAGTTGTAGTGGCAGGCTCTGTTCTGCCCTGGCTTAGCCCCTGTTACAGAGCAGGACAGGGTGGGCTGCCCCTCACACAGGAAGGGCCACGTGTCCCATGGGGATGGAGAGACAGGACTCTGACAGGAACATGAAGTTAGGGTGCAGTGCAGGTTCCCTGTGCTGGGCTGGGGCAGAGAGGCAAACATCACAGAGCTGCCTTCTCCCTGGGAACACAGAGAGCTGCCAGGACATTTGTCTCCCCAGGGAATGTCAGGCAGATGGACCCATCTCCCTGAGCACTGCTCTTCCACTCAGCTGAAATCAGTTTCTTAAGGACAAGCCAAATTAATCCAAGGAGTCTCTGTTTCACATAGTTTCTACTGCCCAGCCTGTCACTCAAAGAGTTTAAAAAAAGAAAATGTATCCCAAGTCTCTCTCAAGCTTAATGATTGCCTGCCTCCTAAAAACAGAGTTCTAAAAGCTGCCAACTCCATTGCTAAATTGAGCCATTATCTGCTGCATTTGTATTAAACATTCCTTGTTTTGCATAGAGAAGTTCAAGCAGCTTTTATTTTCCAACTGAACCAGGAGTCTGAGCCCAGTCAGCAAACATCTCAAGCCTGTCCCTGAAATCAAAACTAGGCTATATTTACCAAGTCTTTCTCTGCTGGGTAGTTATTGCCTGGTGTGTGACTGGAGGGCTGCCTCTGCTAACCAGGTGTGTCACAGGAGCTGCAGGTGGTGATGCACAGCCTTCCTTCATCAGAGGAAAGCAGCACTGATTTGTTGATCACTTTATTTGAGACAGCCTGGCTCATTCTGCAGCTCTGCTCTCAGGCTGGGTGGCTCCAGCTGAGGAACAGCTTCCAGGGGCAGAGTTCTGTCACCTGACTGGGTGGTGCTCACATTTGGATCAATGCACATTGAGTGTGTGGTCACTGATTCTTCCGAGTTATCTCAGCTGAAGCAGTTTTAAGACAAGACCAGCCACAGCTTGATTAGACTTAGTGGGAAAGAATTGCTCAGCAGCAATGAAAAATGCACTGAGGGAGCAAGGCAGAAGGGACCCACAGGTCCTGGGCACCCTCTGCACCAGCCAGGGTCTGCAAAGGGCCAGGGCTGCAGCAGGGCCTTGAAACTGAACTAAGAGACTTCTTGAGTCACCAAGTGACAAGATTGTACCCTGAGGCATTATAACATTGTGGTGGTGTGTGGGGAAACTAGTGTTTGTTCTTCCCCAAAATAAAGAGAGGTTTGCAAATTTACCAAGAAGAAAACCCCAGCAGTGTGTGCAGGGGCGTGCTGCTCAGATAAAATTTTAGGATGCATTCACAGATGTAAAGACAGTCTTGTGCCTTTCCTAATACAATGCTTGATTCCTTTCCAAGGGGACCCTCATAAGAATATTTGATACTTCATCAGGGCATTTAATCCAGGAGCTACGTCGAGGATCACAAGCAGCCAACATATACTGGTATGTTCAGCTGTTTCTGTGCCAGCTGTGGGTGTGGCTGTGCTCAGCCAGCACAGGATGGCTCTGCTGCCCTGGCTGCCTCTGCCCCTCCCTCTGGGCTCACTGCTGGGAGGGGAAAGCAGGAGCTGGGAGCCCTGTGAGGCCTGCACAGGCTCAGGAGCAGGGACAGAGCTGGGCTGTGCCAGCCCGACTCTGCCCAGCCCAGGTGGGAACTGGGGGATGCTGAAGTTCCCACTGACAGCAGGGAGTGCCCTGGGGCACTGGAACACTGCTCAGGGGGACTGGGGTGAGCCTGGGGACAAGGGGAGCTTTATCAGGGAGCACCCAGGGCCCAGGTGTGGCTGTCCCAGGAGCAGGGAAAGCCTCTGCCCATTCCCCAGGAATCTCCCATTCCCCTGTGAGCCCCACGTGGGGCAGCAGCTGCACCTTCTGCCCAGCCCTCAGAGCAGAGCTGGTGCATTTCCTTCCAGCAGTGTCACAGTGACCCACACAGGGTGTCCATGGCAGGGCTGCTGCTGCTGCCACTGCAGGGCCTGTTCTGGAGCTGCTCATCCCAAAGCAGCCCCTGCTCCTCCTGAGGCACTGTTACCACCCCCCTGCCAGGCTGGCACAGCAGCACTGTCTGTGCCAGGGCTCTGGGTCTGTCCCAGCAGAAATCCTGCAGCTGTCTGTCTGTCTGTATTCTCTGCAGTATTAACTTCAACCAGGATGCTTCCCTCATCTGCGTCTCCAGTGACCATGGCACAGTCCACATTTTTGCTGCAGAAGACCCCAAAAGAAATAAGCAGTCAAGGTAGGGATGGAGCCATTCTGGGGGTGGGGGGTCCTTGAGCTTTGAATTGCATTTAAAACACTGGCCCTGTCACTCAGGAGCAAAATCTCCACACTGCTGAAGGTGGAAAAATTTATCTGCTGAGCAGGCATGAAGCTGCAGATTCAGTAATCCCTGGTAATTGCCAAGTTCCTGCTGTCCCTTGCAGGGCTGTAGCATTTCAATAGAGGCTCAGTGTAAGTTTTAGTGGACCTTAGGATGAACATATGTTGTGGAATCCTTCCTGTACTAAAAATCTAAAAACCTTCTGGCAGTTTTTGCAGTCACTTAAAGCCAGCAAGGTAGCTGTAGGGTCTCCCTCCCTGAGAGGGGAAATTACTCAGGTTATCTGATTCAGTAAAAAAATCAAGTGAAACCTTCACCTTGTTCAATCACTCCAGCAGCTCTGAATCCACCCTAGTCAACACCCTACCAACCTATTAATGTCTATTTTTGTTTTGTTTTCTCTTTCAGTTTGGCCTCTGCCACCTTTCTCCCCAAATACTTCAGTTCCAAATGGAGTTTTTCCAAATTCCAGGTTCCCTCAGGCTCTCCGTGCATTTGTGCCTTTGGAACAGAGCCAAATGCTGTCATAGGTGAGTGCTGGAGGCATCCCCAGGGTCTGCCTTTGATCTGTGCTGCCTTGGAGGGAGGGAATGCTCTGCTGACAGAGGGCTGTGTCCCTGTCATGCAGGAGCTCTGGCTGCTCCCACTGCCCACAGAGGCTGGCATGGGGCTGGCACAGCACGGGGCTGGCAGGGCTGGTGGCCCATGGATCCCTCCAGAACCTCTGTGAGTCTGAAGGGCAGCTGATGCTGGGGCAAAGCACAGCACCCCTGGCACAGCCCCCTGACCCTGCCTGTTTGTGTTGCAGCAATATGTGCAGATGGCAGCTACTACAAGTTCTTATTCAACCAAAAAGGGGAATGCTCAAGGGATGTGTACGCTCAGTTCCTAGAAATGACAGACGACAAGCTCTGACTGAGGGAGGGGAGAGCCCGGCTCAAAGCACTGCCTCGGCCACCCGGCCTTTGAGGGACAGATCTGAGTGTCCAGCACTGAGCCAGAGGTTCAGCACAGCTCATGGAGAAGCCTGGCTCAACATGATCACAAGCAGCTCTGAAGTAGTGGACTACATTTGTTTGTTCTCATTTCTGCAAGTATTCATCATGAAAATAAATCTCTTTGGGTTACTGTCACCAACTCAAGTTATCAAGATGTGGCTTTCAACAAGCTTGTGCCTATTGGGTTTCTCTTTAGTCTGAACTGTGACATGACTGTAGCTCCAACAAGAGTGCCTGCCACAGGGAGAGCTCTGCAGGGGCTGTCCACACCTTCAGCTGGCTTTAGGAAAAGGGATGTGAAACCAGAAGATTTTAGGCTTTGCTTTACTTCCACTGCATGGCTGGGAGCGGGGAACACTGGGTCATGCTTGCTCCTCCCTCCCCTGGCACAGCTGAGGGAACAGAGGTGACAAGTATGGAGCAAGGGACACCTGCAGGTCAAGCCCTGCTTGTCCTCTGACCAAGGGCTGGGGGTGGTGGTCCTGTGGCCCTGCCAGTGCTGCTTCAGGTGAGGGATCAGCATTGCTTGTCCAAGGTGCCCAACTCTGTGAAGCAGCTGGAGGCACCTTTGGGCAAGGGCTGCCCCAGCTCCCCTCTCCTGTGTGAGCACAGCGAGCAGCCAGGGCTGCTGTGGGTGTAGAGCCGATTCCTTCCATGATCCAACAGTCAGTACTGCTGTGACAGCTGCCAAACTGCTGCAGCTGGGAGGCTGGAGAGGCCATGGCCAGCTCAAGAACTGAACAAGGTGGCAGGAAGTTCCATGTCTGCAATGGCTTTGAACTTGCAAACTTGTCTTTTTTTTTTTCCCTTTGAGCTGTCGCACACTATTGCTGCTGGCCCAGGGACAGGTAGGTTAGACTGAAGCCAGACTTGTACACTCTTCCCCAAAAGTTGTTACCCTGTTTCCTGCTGACCTAAGGCACAAGCTCCTAACCCAGAACCTGAGATAGCCCCAAGTTTGGCATCTGTGGCACTAAACCCTGGGGCAGGGAGCTCTTGCTCATCACAAAGCTAATTTCACAGATGCTTCAGCCCTGACACTCTGTGACTTCAGTTGCAAACTCTAACTTTGACAAGTCCCTTTTAGTGTCATGTAACCTACTAAGGACTAACTTACCATGTTGATGTCAAGGTTGCATGTTGCTTTTATGCGTATTTAACCACAGGAATTGTTTTGCACACTTATTTGTAATATGTTATTTCTTTTAAATAAAAGTGACTAACTTTGCTGTATTCACTGATGGTCACAGCCATGGTTTCCATTGCTCCAGGCTGGGGGATAAACATGTGAGTCAATAGTGGTGGCTGGTGAAGGACAGGAGCTCAGTCTGCTGCATGAGGAGGGGACAGGAGCACTTGAGCCACTGCCTGGCCATGCACCTTGCTGTCTGTCCCAAAACAAGCCCAACTTCCCAGTGCAAACCAGTTCTTGTTCAGCACTTACCTCACCCAGCAGAAGGAGCTGGAGCTGTCCTCTCCTGGAGAAGGAGGTGATGGAAGTGCTGCAGATGGAAATCCTCTCCTGTGCCAGTGGAGCTGCTCCTGATCCCAGCACCAGCAAACTCCTGAACTCCCCCAGCCAGCCCTGCCCCTGCTCCCACAGCTCTGCTGGGCCTCAGCTGACCCCCTGTCCCTGTCATCCTAGAGCTGACAAGAGATGATGAACACATTTCTGGGGAACATTTAAACTCTTCTAAACATGTCAAATTTCCCCTAAACCTCTGCTCCAACGTGGCAGCAGGAATGAAAACAACACGTGTGCAGGCAGCCAGCAGTGCTGCAGTAACCCTGAGTGCCCTGGCACACCTCAGCTGTCCTGGGCTACCTGCAAGGGGCTGTGATGAGGTGCAGCTGTTCCACAGGGATCAAATCCAGCACAGCATTGAGTCTTCCAGGCTGCTGCTGCCTCCAGGCTGCTCTGCCAGTGCTCCACTGCTTGGCTCCTGTGGATGGATGTACCCAGAGTCTGCACAGCTCTACAGTAACTGGACAGTGCTCAGTCAGTGACCTGGTGGGAAAAGGAATGGGGGCACTGATGGACTGGTGGTGCCACAGGATCAGCCCCAGGCACCAGGAGGGCAGAGAGCTGCCACAGGCAGAGCAAACCACGACTGGAACACAAAGTATTGCAGCAGCATCTGCTCCTGAAGCACAGGGATGCACAGGGATCAGCAGCTCCTTTTGTATGGAAAAGTAACTCAAAGCCTTCTCTCCCCATTTTGCCATCTCTCTCCACAGTACCTGTGTCACAGTTCAGAATCCTGACAGGAAAACTAATGAGTCAGTGCACTAAATTCTGCAGCAATTCCAGGTATCTGCCAGCAGGAACTGTGGAACACGAGGATTGCTTTCAGAACCTTTAGGTAGTCACAAAAAGGAGAAAATACAGAATTAATCAGTGCAGTTGGAGATGTGAGACACGACCAGTTCTTACAGACACAGCAGCCACAAAATGCCACCAGGCTGGGGCTGGGTCACACTGCTCTGCCTGCCCTGGGGCACAGTAACAGTTACAGCACTTCACTGCTCCATGGTCAGCTGTGCTCCTCTTCCTCCCCAAGGACTGTGTTTATTCACACCATTCAGACCCTGCTTTCTGTTCGAGGAACAGGCTCTGCCCATTCGGCTCCAAACACCAAACCCAGCAGTTCCACATCCATCCAAGGCTTGGGGAGTTGGGTTTCTCCCCAGCTCTTGAAAGCATTGCTATGAAAACCTGACCCAGCTTCCAGCAAAGTTTTCCTGGTCCTTGAAAGCATTTCCCAACTTCTGAGAAACAGAGACTGTAACCAGTGCAGGCAAAGGGGATCAAACACCAAACCCACATTCACCACAGAGATTCCAGAAAGCGACATCTCCTAAAATTGACTTACAGCAATAATGGTCCATGCAAGGCAGACACGTTGCTGTGCCCTCCTGGGCCCCAAGCACTGGCAGGGCCCAGCCCAGGCCCCTCCCTGCCCCTGGCTGGGCTGGAAGGGGCACCTTGGCCTGGGGGGCTGGCACAGAAGCTGCATTAACCCCAAATATACACTGATATTCCAAACACACTTGTTGAGTAATTTCAACTTAGTTAATTTGCTGAATAAAATTTAATTTTATTTAAAAAAATCTTATACACTATTATTCACCTAGCCCTAGTTGTGAACAGATTCTCACTTCTGAAAATAAACCACATTCTAGTCAATTCATTCAACACCAAATTAAATTACTAGTACTGGATTTTTTTTTTCTTAAAAAAAGTATGTTAAAACTTTACTTTTTTTTTATTTTTAAAACCTCTAAAGAAAACGCTGCAATTGTACAGAAATGCTTCTTTTCAGGTTATGCTTTTTTTTTTAAATGCCTGTTATAAATCCAGCTTGTGTAGAGTTTTTTTTTCATAGTTTTTTAATGTATTATCTGCAGAGACATTGTAACAGTTCCATTGTGTGGATGAACACAAAACTTGTACACATTTCTCATATTTGGTCTTTAGGTAAATAGTTTCCAAAAGCTGCCTAAAATAACCACTCCAAACTGTTCAGTCCATCATGAAAATACAGTTTTTCCTTTCGGAGCAGGAAAGGAAATATAAATAATGCATCTTTATTACAGAACAGGAAAAAACCAGATTCCGACGGAGCCGCCTCGGGCTCCCGCTCACCTGGCTGCAGGAGGAACTAAGACGTTGTGTGAGCTGAAGACTGAACAGCAGCCTTGTTTCAATTGAATTTTGAAATGTAAAGTGGAATCTATTACCACATTAAAGTGAGAAATTACCGATACATTTTAAAATGTTCAACTGCAGAACACACACTTAAAAAAAAAAAAAAAAATTATTACCATAATCTGGTAGCCACTGTTAGAAAACCACAACAGCTACTGGTCATGGAGACCCCGAGGTCAGTGTCTGACATCAAAGTGTTACAGAGAAACGGGGCAGATTAATTTCTACTGAAGGGTGCTTAAGCTTAAAAATATCGAATATACCTCTGACAAGATAATTTTACTCTTTTTAAAAGGACTCGTGATAAAGAATTTTATCTTTCTAAATGAAGAACAGTCTGTTATCTTAAACATACACAATATTAAGCGAGACTCTTGTTTTACTTTAGACTGGAAAAATATGCCAGGGACAGTCAAAGTCAACACAAAGTAACAAACAGCAAAAGGTAGCAGAGAGAGAAACAGGTAAGTGCAGCTCTGGTCAAATCCATAGCAGTTCTTTACGTCAGTTAACGGCTCATTTACATCAGAGTTTCTAATCAGTTACATGCAAGCCCAAAGAAGCGTTTGATCACTACACATGGTAATAAAATTTGATTAAATTTATCAGGCAACTGCTAAAATATGAAAATTTGCAGATGTAATAAAGTAGCTTTATCTGAACTTGAACAGGACAGACAAAAGTAAATCATTCCGTTGGTTAAAAAAACCCTACATTCAGTTTTTTACCAAACAAAATTTCACATGAAAAGTAGTTGTGTGATTCCAAAGTTTCCGGAGTAGAAATGGAGTGATTTGAAATGTCAAAGACCCCATCGTTTTGCAAAGAAATGAAAATACACCTCAAAAATTTCTAATTCCACATGTGAACAACAAAATACTGCATATCTATCAACAACTGCATGGGTGGGTGGTTCGGAAAGGCTTTAGCTGCCACGGTGTCGGAATGGCTCCTGCCTCTGTTCCCTTTAGGAATTTACAATCGTTTGAAACCAGTCACACTAAGCGCTATCATGCTGCCGTTACACTGAGATCCTCAGTCCTGGGAAAAATCTGACAGATCCTGTTCAAGCTGCAGCCCTCCCAGCACACACAGTCCGTGGGCAGGAGGGGCGGGGGCACAGCCTCTACAACAACATGGTTCTGCAGTTTGACTTGAAATTACCAAGTTTTAAGGCCACCTGTGTTGGGTTTTGTTTCAGTGCTGAAAGTTGAAGTCTGATTCACAGGGCCCCTTTCCCCACTGCGTGAGAACATGTTCCAACATTTTAGGTGTTAGATTTAAGTGTCTCCTTTTGGCACCACGGAGTTTGTTTTTGTTGGTTTTTTGTGGTTTTTTTTT